CCCACCACTGGAGATGGGGCTGCTTCCATTCCAGGAGGTGGGATGACCTCGCTGGCCGCAGCAGGCGGTGGGCAGGTGGCAGGGACATCCAAGCAGTTAAGGCGGGTCCAAGCTAGGAAGGCGCCAGGGATGGGCTCTGAGGATCAGCTGGCTGGAAGCCGCGGAGGATCCAATCCTCACAGCCACACAGCCCTGTGGACACTCCTTAGCGGTGTCAAATTATGACAAATGGCATGGCTGAAAGTTGCTGGGTGGCAGCTGCCGCATCTCAGAGGGAAGCAGGTATTTTTAGCACTGCGCCTTGAGGCTCTGGCACTGTGTTAATTAATCACGGTGAACAGCATCGAGTTTTGTTCTTGAACCTGGTCCCCAACCCTGTATCCCAGTCTTGTCCCCATTTCCCAGACTGGAATAAGGGGCAGGGGTGGAAATGGCACCTAGCTGGAGCCCCGCTTTGCGAGCCTCACACAGCACTGGGGAGACCGTCCCCCGCCTCACACCGCCAGCCTTGTGCTCCTCACTCCGCTTTCTCTTGCTTGGTGAGACTTTCAGCTGTGCGTCCACTCTGGCTTCCTCCACCGCTTCCTGCCTGAGGCCTTTGCACTGCGGTTCTTTCTTCTCCCTCTTTTCCTCTCTTCTCTCCCCTCCCTTCTCTTTGCTTCTTTTCTTCCTCCCCTCCTTTATTGTTCAGTACTTGCCTTTTGGATTTTTTGAGACAGGATTTTACTAAGTTGCCCACGCTGGCCTCGAACTCACAATTCCCTTGCCTCAGCTTCTTGAGCTGGGATTATACTGTAGGTGTGCGCCACTGGGCCGGGCACATGGTTCCTTCTTAAACATTATCTCCATCTCTCCTTATCCTTCCTGTTTTACCTCAAATGCAAAGGTCCCTTGCAAAGTTCCTTCCACAGCTGAGTTCTCTCTAGCACTTTGCCTTGTTTATTTCCGGCAGGGACCAGGACCAGCCCCATCACCTTGTGTGTCAGCTGCCTACTCTATCTTCTGTCCCTTCCATGAAAATGCCAACTGCCCAAGAGCAGGATCCCCTCTACCTTGCTCACTCCCTTGAATGCCCATTGCCTAGCTCAGTGGACGTGGGGCGGGTACTCAATGGATGTCACAGAGACGATGACCGGGTAGAGATTGGTGGGCTGCGTGGATAAGTGGATGGAGCGTGGAAGGCTGAATGGAAGACCATGCACATCTGGGAGATGCTGGTTGGGAAGCAGCACCCTTATCCAGGACAGTGTAGCTGTGGGGCAGGGTTGGGGGGACAACAGGGAATTCTAGGGAAGCTGTTCTCTGTCTTTTAGCAATGTCCAGTCATACATTTGTTGGGGTTTTTGACAGAATTCTCTACCTGCTTTTTTTTTTTTTTTTTTTTTCCTTCTCCATCTCCTCTACCTGTTCATCCTCCTCCTCTTTCCCCTCTTCTTCCTCTTCCTCCTCCTCCTTTAAGGTGGGAAAGAGAGAGATCAGGTTTAAAGGCCTGGAAGACAGTTTCCCCGCTCTGCCCGAAAGCTGATGCAAGCACCTCATCCTTGGGATGGGGTACGATTCTGTCACCAGATTGTCTTTTGAAATATACAATACTTATTCTTCTCAGAAGATAAAGTTGCCCATCATTCCTTTTTATTGCTGAGTACAGAACCTTGATTGGTTCTGGTACCACAGTCCCTACCCAGCCCTGTCCCCAGGAAGACAATGCACCAGCTCCGGACCCCTTGCCAGGGATGGGCTGGAAGTGGCCAGAGATGCCTTTGTCACTCATGGGATGTGAAGAACTTCTCACTTCTGAAGGGTTCTCACTGTCACCAAGGTGCATCTGTGTTCTGTCCCTTCAGATGCTAAATAAGATCAAAGTTTATTTCACGCACAGAAGTGAAGTGGTGGTTGGGGTCAGTCATTTGGTTTCCACTCCCAAGTCCTGGGCCTGGAGCAGCAGGAGCGGTGTTCAGTCCTGATGGTGCACAGCGCCTATCACAGAAAACAGTAAAGCCTGTCCTCTGTGAGCCCCGGCCCATTTGGCCTGAATCTGACTAAAACAATCGTGCTGGAGTTTTTGTTTGTTTGTTTTACTTTTTTTAAAAATGGGGATCAAACTGTGCTTGCCAAGCAGAGGCTATGCCACTGAGCTAAATTGGTACCTTGAAGGGAGCCAACAGCTCAGCCTTCCTGCACCCTGCTAGTACGGATGAGATACTGTGAAGACGATTCAGGCCCCAGCCAGGCGACTTTAGGTGGGAAATATAACATGCACGTCAAGCTACCTGCTGAGGTCACTGCTTAGAAGTCCCAGATGTCACCACGCCTGGGCCTTTCTGCCAACAGGTGCACCCCAATGGCCAACATGGCTGGCTGCTCTAGTGCTTTGGGGTTATCTTTGAGTCAAGCCAGGGCTACTGGAAAACAAGGACTGTGACACCAAGATGGTTACTCTGATAGCTGAGATGGTTACTGGGAGGCTACTAGGAGGATAATGGGCGGACAGTGTACACAGTGGATATCTAGTAGGGTGGAGCGGGTGGGTACAATGTTTAATGACGTATTCTGAGTGGTGTGCAATTCAAAACATGTACTTTGCTTATTTCTAGAATGTTCCATTTAATAGTTTCAAATTGAGGTTGACTGTCAGTGACTGAGATCATGGAAATTGGAGGGGCAGGTAAGGGCTGGGGGCTGCAGTACTGTCCTCCCTCTGCTTCTGAGAAGCATTCGGAAGCCTTATTAAAAAGCACCAGGGAAACTGAGATGTTATTCCATCTAGACTTTTGATGCTTTTCTTTTACAGTTCTGGATTGTGCCTTTCCCTGTGGGAGACAAAGAGGCAAAGAATCAGAGAGACACAAGAATAGGGGAAGGAGTAGGAGAGGGAGAAACAGAAAGACACTCTGAATGACAGATTGGAAGACAGAGCCACAGTCTTCGTTAACCCAGGGAGGATTTACTGAGAATCCCGTGATACCACCGGACCACATGCTGTTTTTAAACTCCTCTCCCAGATCCCGGACCCAGCTCTTAGGTAGGAGGATCAGGAGGCTGCTGTTTCCGCTAAGACCAGTAGGTGTCACCATGTCAGCAGAAAACCTAGGGGTGCCTGGGATTTGTTTGTCTAGTAGTTATCGCCCTGCCATTACGTGCAGGGCCTTAGGCAGGACCCTTGAGGGTACATAGGGCGAGAAGCAAATTTATGTGTGAGGGACCTGAAAGAAAAATGTCTCAGGTAGCACAAAGAGGGAGAAGGCAGGTAAGTGGAGAGTGTGGGTTCTTTGCATCCGGGAGCTCTCAGAGAAGCCAGATCCCACCTCTCCACACAGCAGAGATACAGCCTCACAGAGGCATGGGGGACTGACCCTGGGGCCATGCAGCACTTCCAGAATCAAGGTCCCGATTCCTAGACCCACGAGTATTCTTTCCACCAAACGGTCCACCTCAGTATTTCTTTTTGCACCTTGTGATTAAAGATTCTACCTTAGTTTAGTCATGAACCCGGCTGCAAGGTGCTCCCCTCAGACACCTAAACAAGCCCCCTAGATAGGTCAACAGGCTGCGACCTTCAGTCTGGGCAGAGTTGACAGCTCAGGCTCACAACAGCCATTTCATGCATCTCTTCCCGGTGACATCAGGTCGGGGAGCCTGAGATGGATCCTGCCGGGAGTATTTACACCATGGAGATTGGCAGTGGCTACAAATCAGAGCTTAATTTTTTCCCCCCTAGAGAGCGACACACCACTAAATTAATCTCTTTACCTTTTAGATAAGGAAACTGAAGCTTAAGGAGACACAGTAATTGTCATTTATAGGTGCTGGGACTCCACTCCAGGTGGCTTGGTGCTAGGGTGCTCGGAATGATGATTCAATAGCACTTGGAGCCATCCTGGCCTGCGGGGGTCTAGATGGGTCCCTTACCCAGTTTTGTTCTTCTGTAACAAAATAAAACACCAGAGACTGAGCAATGCATAAAAAGCAGATGTATTTCTTTACAGTTCAGGAATCTGCGAAGTCTGAGACCTAGATTCTTGCTGAGTCATCTCAAGGCAGACGTGCAAAAAGCAGAGAGAAAGACACGAGAGAAGCCAACCTCACACCCTTTTATAAGGAACCCCGGTGTGGGTAATGGGGTGGGTGCTTGTCAGACAGCAGCACTGGAGCAGGAACTGGTTATCAGGAGAGATCACCTGTGCAGCTTTGGATGGACTGGATTCGAGGCCAGAGATCGGAGGCCAGGACAAAGGTCTGGGCAAGAGACTGTGCTCCACAAGAGGGAGATTTGTTCTCAACTGAACCAAACATAGACTAGTTAGAAACATCCTTGTTATAATCATCAGGTAGAAAGTACAAGATACACCTTCTATACATTTTCTTCTCACATTGGTTGACATTTAAGGACGTGTTGTCTCCTGCTTTTTGACTTGGTCCCTGATCCCAGGACATAGTGAGCACTCAGAAAGCATCCACTGATTAAACACGAGTGCCTCATTTTTACTCCGCACATACTGAATCAGCCACCATCATGGACCATACAGCAAAATTAAGCATAGTTCTCACAACTTACAGATTATCTGAATTCTGGCATCATTATAGGGGTATGAATATGGGCTTAGATTGCTCTTTTAGCATTTTGGGGCTTGGTGTCTTCTAACACCCTTGTTTTGTACTGGTGAGGAACTGAAGCCCAGACACCATCCCAAGACCGTCCCTTGTCAGGATGGGCAACTGTTAGTCTTAACAGTCAGAGACTCTGGCCTGGACTACCTTGTTTTGCTAGTTTTTTCCCCTGTTCTGGAACTTGGTTTTTCTTGGGGTTTGGGGGAGCACTTGAACTTTGGTTCTGGAAGGACAATGATTTTGAGAGTCTAAGTTTCAAAAGATAACTTGGAAAGATGAGCAGACCTGTCTCCAGGTAACCAAGCAAGGAGTCTATAATATGTAAATGAGCTGTGGCTTTTCTCCTGGTTGGCTGATGGGGCCTTGATGTCACAATGGGTAGGGTCCTTTCACTCCCGATGATTATGTCTTAGTCAAAAAAAGTCACTGACCCTGGCGGGTCTCTCAGCTCCCTCTCTCTGTCCAACAGGGAAGTGAGAGGATGGAGCCTCTCTATCAGACTGGATCCATTCTCATGAAGCTGAATACCTTGCAAGGGAAGAAAATGGTGGAGAGTGGCCTCCAGTCTGGAGACTTTTCTCTCTCCCAGTCGTGGCCTTCTTGCCTCCCACCCCCAGCCGAACTGGAGATCTTGCAGCAGAAGGTGGCCGGGGTGCAACGCGAGCTGGAGGACTTTAAGAAGGAGGTATTGAAGTCTATCCATTACCTGGAAGATGCCTTCTGCCAGATGAATGGCACCCTGGCTCAGCAAGAGGAGCAGGCAGCCCGCGTGAAGCAGCGGCTGAGGGAGGAGGAGGACCGAGGCATCGTGCGGAACAAGGTCCTCACCTTCCTGCTGCCTCGCGAGAAGCAGCTCCGGGAGCACTGCAGGCGGCTGGAGTGCATGCTGCTGAGCCGGGACTATGACACTCTGGGCACCGCCAGGAAGAGCCAGGAGAACTGAACCCTAGGCGAACCAAGTAGAAGATATTTTCAAATGGAAAGAAGTCCTAAGCCCTACTCTCTTGCTTCCCTGTCCCCATTTCTATTGCTTTCCTTCTACCAAAATAACACCTTGCCAAGAGGCAAAAAGACCTCACTGTGGTTTTTACTGGTTGAAGTTTCATTTATCTGGGCTCCTCAGGAAGAAGGCACCTTAGTATTGAACCTGTACGTTTACCTCAAACCGGTTCCTGTATGTGATGGTAACCTTGCTCGAAGATACAGTGGTTTTCGTTTGTTTGTTTTGTTTTTGGTATGTATTCTTAAATGTATTGCTTTGAACAGCTCTTCTTTTTGCAACTCCAAGCTCACATGATTTGTCATTCAGGGAATGGGTACTGGGACCTGTCCACATAGGGTTAAGGGGTAGGCTAGAAGGGCCCCACATCGCTCCACTTTGGCAATTTTTGTCCTTGCCTGTTTGGCTTCCCTGCCTGCTTTCATGCTGGCCTTAGTGTCTCCTGCTTCTCTTCGATGCCTTTGCCTGCCTTAGCCTCCTCTCCCCCTAGTCTTCAGGCTGATGAGTTAGGTTGTTGGGCTCATAAGGATTCTGACCCTAGAGCTCCCTGTTGTTGCACAAGGATTCTTTTTTTTTTTTTTTTTTTTTTTTTGGTCTTTTTCATTTTTATCGGTACCGGGGATCGAACTCACGACCGCCTGCTTGCAAGGCAGGTGCTTATGCCGCTGAGCTAAATCCCCAGCCCCTTGCACAAGGATTCTTACCCTAGAGCTCCCTGTGGCTGCTATCTGTGACAATGCATGCACCCCAGCCCACCTGGCTCATGGACATTTGCAGGAAGAGTGCAGTTTTCTTGTGTTACGCAGGGTCACTGACCACAGGAAGCTACATCCTCTACCCAAGAGCTCTGGGCTGGTGAGTGGCTGAACCATGCTTCAAGTCCGGGTTACCTGTGCTCACGCACTGTCCCGCTGCTCCCCACTGTCCTGCTTCCCCTATCCCCTCCCTGACTTGGGGACACATCAGGCTGCTCATAGATCTGTTCTTCTGGAGAAAGGAGATTGTCACAGAGATGATTTGGAGGTTCATTTGCTGTCACTATACCTTTTATTTCCAATTAGCCTTCTGTTGCATTGATTCACATACCCTTTCTCTGGTCCCCTAAATACTGTCAAGTAGCAGGGATTGTCTTCTAAATAGCAACAGTGAGGGCCTGGAGGCCAGAGCCAGCACCAGAGCAGAGCCGGGTCTCTGACTCCAGCACAGGACCTACGGTCTAATCCTTGTTGTCTGAACCTCCTCCTCCTCCTCTCATAGATGCTCTAATAAATGCCACCCCTTTTCCCTTTTCATGTTAGGAACCAATTGAAGAATAAGTGTAGGTGCCAGCAAGAGGAGACAGCGTATCACCTTCCCAGCTGATAAACCTGCATGAGGTTGTGGTTTAGAGCCTGTAGGTCACACAGGGTGGCTGAGACCTTGGGCCTGAACCTTCTATGGTCTCCAGGTGCACTGTGGGCAGAGGGGACAGCTGCAGGTTCTTGAGAGGATGCTGCTGTGGAACTGTGGAATGACTTTTCTGCAGAGGGACAGCTCAGGAGAGACGGATGGAGTGCCAAGAGAGTGCTAATCCTTCTCAACCCCTCCCTGGGGAGGTGTAGGGAAGGGGAAGGAGAATGCAGATGCCTCCATCAGGAGCGAGGAATGGGATACAAGTGCTCCATCAGCGGTGCAGAAGAGGGCTTGACCCAAGCTGTCTGATTCCATAGGGTCACCCTAGTGACAAAGGAGGTGAACTTGCAGGAGGTCAAATGTGGCCCTGGGTAAGAAACAAAAATGACATTGGGTGCTTATTACATGACTGGGTCCTACAGGGCTGCCCCAAGAGGTCTGGGGTGAAACCTCTCTGAAAAGCTTGCACATTTCGGGGACTCGGAGTGATACCTCTAAGCCTTCACAATGAACTGCCTGATAGGAATACGCTTGTTTCCCGGGGGCCTTTGTCCATACCTGGTGGTTTAGGCTGGCACTGTGGTTTACAGTGAGGGCCCTGAGTCACACTGTGTCAATCTGACCTTTGGAGAAGCTGCAGAGTAAAAACTAAAGCCATCCACGAGGTGCTCCTTGCCTGTGTGATAAACCCCACATACCAGGCTGTGGAAAGGCTGCTCTGTCTGATGTCTTTGCCCGTGTTGTCACCCATTCTCGCTGGGAAAACTGGCTGTCCACATGGCTGTCCTAGGAAAGGACAGTTAAAAGTTAGGTGATCTCTCCTGGGCTTTGTCCTGTATGCTTTTTGCCTTTTCTGGTCCTAATCTGTATCCTTTGGCTGCCATGGTTACTGACTGCAACCATGATAACTTTTCTTAGTTCTTCAAGTTCTAGTGAGTCCCAGAAACTGAGGGGGTGATCCGGCATCCACAACACAGTCAGAAGCACTCAACTGCATTGAGAGGTGGGTCCTACAACAGTCATGTGAGTTAGGCACAGTCATCCCCAGGGCACAAGAAGAAACTGAAGCACAGAGAGGTGAAGTAACTTTCCTAGGAGTCCCTATGAGTCCCAAGGGCTTGCCCACTCTTGACCACCACTCTACACCAAAACAAGAAACTCTGAGCCATGAGCTGGTTCCCCGCTGTTGGAAGGTCTTCGGGGGTGGCCAAAGGTGCATCACCCTGGAGTGACGACAGGAATGTGCTGGAGGAAGAGCAGGAAGCTCATGAATGTCCCTCTTGGAGAGCTCAGGGGCATCTCTGTCCAGGTTGGGTTATAATCTCACCTGGAGACCAGGTGAAGGTCTGAGTGTCCTCTCCTGATCTGGTATGCTATAGGCTTGGAAGACTTGTTTTTCTTTGTCTCTGTCTGTCTCTCTGCTGGAGACTGAACCCCAGGAAGCCTTACTCTCTATTAAGGGCTTTAGGCCACTAACTACAGGGTGTCCATTACACTGCCTTTTAAAAAGAGGACTCATCCCCCTGAACCCGCCAAACACACATAGCTAGGCATTCAAACTAGATGGCTGATTCAGTTATGCAACAAGACCAGGCTTTGGGTCTATACCTTTCAGCCTCTCTCCCCCTTGTACCCTACCTTCATAGCCACATGACGGCTTCAGGAGCTCTAAAAGTGTGTCACTGCTCAAGCATTTCAAAACAGGAAGAGGGAGATCTTTCTTTGTAAACCTTTTTTTTTTTTTTTTTAATCAAAAAGAAATTCTTCAAAAATCCTCCCAGTGGATTTCTTCTGATATTTCTTGGGCCAGACCTGGGTAGCTTGGCCACCTTCAACCAATTATGAACAAAGAGGAAAGACTGCCACAACTCAGCTCCTGGGCCTGGACACTTCTCTGACCCATAACTGAGCAAAAGTTCCATTAGTGAAGTTGGCTGTCAGGTGACAAGGACCCTTGCTGCTACTACCTCTGTCTTACCTTTCTCATTTCATTGATTCTGAAGGCCAAGCACAAGAGTCCTCTGGAAGATGACAGGGCTGGGCCGAGATGTGCAGATGTGCAGTGTGGGTGGCTATCACGTGGCTCTCTGTCTGTGAACAGCAGAAATGGGCTGACCAGAGGTGCAGAGGGACGCCAGCGCTGTGGTACAGATTCATGCCTGCACTGGCTCCATCCTCGTCTGCCTGGTACGCAAGTTTCACCCCAGAATCCAGAGGTTTGAAGCACTCAAAGGATGCCAGAGAAACTTTGAAACACCTCAGTCCTTAAAATAGGCATCTACCCACATATGTTAGTCATCACCCACCAGCGCAACCAACCTGTCCCAGTTTAATTGGGACTGTCCTGGTTTTGAAATGGAAAGTCCTGTGTGCCAGGAGTCCTCTTGATTGTGGGTGAACGAGGATGACTGATCATCTTTCATTCGGCATAAAACACCTTGGTAAGATCCAGATGAGGCTGTAGGTGAGTCAAGGGACTCACAGAAGGGCAGGACAAGAAGCTAGGGCATTTGAGGGCCAGGCCCTTCTCTGAGAAACTTCTGGGGACAGCTGGATGGCTGATTAGGCCATGGCTCCCAGCAGAGACCCAGTCCTGCAAAATAGAGGAAATTCATGCCTGATTAAGGAGCCCAGAAGAGACTGCTTTGGAAGATGGAGTTCCTCGCTCCAACTCTTCTCCTCCTGGCTGTGAACAATACAGCTGAGCAGCCTGACTGCTCACTTTCTCTGAAATTCTAAGACAAATAGAAGACAAAATAACAGATGGTTCCCTCCTCACCAGTAGCCCTAGTTCTCAAAGGTTTCTTGCGAGCTGTGACGACGCTCTGTTGGCCCTGCCTGAGCACTCTCAGCAGTCAGAGGGTCGCTGGGACCTTGGGCATGCAGCTCTGTCTTCTGAGACCTATGCAGCCAGGGTTCCTCCCTGGGCCCCGGGACCTGTGTCTGCGCAGGCTGGGATGCTTCAGTGAGCGGCATGACAGCTGAGTCTCAGAGAAGACAGGCACCGAGTGCTGGCTCGGGGAGGCAGCTAACCCCGGCTGTCAGTCTTATCTTTTCTACTTAGTTGATGCTCAAGGTCAGAAGGGCCAGAGCTCTAGGGGAGACGTATGGATGGACAGGGCAGCATGGGGTAACTACAGAGTGAAGGTTGGATCTGAAGTGGGGTTCATTCTGCACACAGAAATTTGCCTCCAGAACTCACCCAAACCATTTAGAAATCCAGGGAGCGCTAAGAACAGTGAGGCAGAGTATCTTTTCCAGGTAGGAGGTGTCAATTAGATGGTCCAGATTTACCAGGTGTGGCTCCTGTTGGAGGGTGACAGAGGCATAGGATAGTTTGTTTATTGTCCTCCTCCTGCTGTCTACTTTGAAAGTGAATGTGCATAAGCACCTGCCTGGCAAGTGCAAGGTCAAGAGTTTGATCCAGGGTCTCCCCCGCAAAAAAAATGGTGAGTGTGGCTCACAGTTGGGGCCCAGCAAGAAGTAGGGGCTCAGGACATGTTTGTTGATTTCAGTAGGAAGCAGCTGCATCTTCTGTGTGACTGCTGGTGGGAGTGGTGTTTATCAGTGCAGCCTTTGAGTGACTTAGGGTTGTTTGGCAAATCTCTGAGGCAGCAGCCAGATGTCTGAGTTAGAATTTTGACTTCACAGCATCTCAAGCTTCTATGTAAGAGA